TCTTCGTCGCCGCTGCCTAGCACCATGCTTGCCTCCGGCGCACGTTGGTGATGAAAATGAAGGCACCAACCCAATCAATTTAAAATTGCATGGTCATTTGGGTATTTTGAAATAGCCGACCACACTTTTGGTAGATATCAGCGACAAATAAATTTTTAATAGTTTTTTAGAAACATAACGCAATAAGTGATAGTTTTATGCAATTTACTCGAAGTTTGGAGGTACCAAGTGTGCAGGTTCTGATTCCACCACAGCCGCCGATGCCCACAAGAACCCCGAAGACGCTGAATCCGCGAAAGGCATTGAGAACATGGCCAGCAACGCTGCCCACAGAGCTCTCGCGCACGTGGAAGCGAGGTAGAGTTAGCACCCACAACAGCAACCTGAAGCACGGCCGGGGCAGGGTGGGGCGGCGAGGTAATGCGAGGACGCCGACAACCCCATGAGACGGTAGCAGTAATCTGACGGTAGGTAAGTTCTTCTCTTTTTGCGGGTACGATAGGCAGGTGAGTTTTTTTTAAGCATCAGTACAGACAAAAGCGCTCATATACACGCGCATACACTCACCCCTATGAACACACACACACACCCTACCCCTATGAGCACCTCCAAAAAACTGAGCCGGCATATCATCTTGAGATTTACGAAGCCACTGTAGGCGTCTCGTCGTCGACGGGAACGTCTCCTCCCACTGAAAGTACATCGTCGGAAATCCTGAAATAAATCCAGGAATAATGCCTTAGGGAGTTCATATTTGACTTCATCAGGAGAAGGTGCGTTTAGTTGAGTTAATACCTTAGGGAGTTCATATTTGACTTCACCAGGAGATATTTGAGGGAACTCTACGACCGTTTGCTCAACAAACCATATAAGGAGCAATTGATTTCTCCATGCTGATATAGGGAAACAAGATTAGGATTTTTCGTTTTTCACTTTTACAATGGAAATGCTTCACTTTGTTGCTGATGCGTACAAACACAAAGAGCATCTACAAGCAGAGAACAACGGAAAAATTAGATCTAATAATATTGATCTATTGGCACTACACAGACTTCACATTAAAGAAACAAATACCAATTTTAGCTGGTTACAAAGCATCGTCGACACAGAAAGGCTCGCCTCTTAAAATTATCAAACAATGACATGAACATAATGAATGCAGTAATATTCCTCTAGGATGTTCTCATGTTTCACTAACCTATGTGTATTACATGCATCATTTTTCATAACTTTGAGGATAAGAATACGTATAATATATGTCATTAATTACCAAATTATTATTGTACTTCAACTATTGTGAACAAAAGTTAACCAAAAACGGAGACCACCTTTTAATACTTGGTCATGATATCTTATGGATGCACTTAGATGTCTTTGTCTAGAAGTCTAGATATGGCACGTCATTTTTCATATCCTTTGGACTTTATGTGTTATCACTCTTGCTTTCAATTGGGACCGCCTATTAGTACACTTGGTAATCTTATCTTGTGGATGCACCTTTATATATCTTTTATCAAAAATCTAGAAGTTCTCAGTTGCCACGCAATTCCATATCCTTTTGACATTATATATTGTCCCTTGGCTCTTGTTGGAATGTATACTGGAAGATGGACAGAAGGTCTGTCATCGCTTGTTTTCTGGTGATGCTTGTGTTGTTCGAAAGCGCATCTGCAGGTGTGTTCTCACATTTGTTGTTCTTAATTAAGTAGAGTTACTTCTCTCTAAAAAAAAGTAGAGTCCCTAGAGTAGATGTTATTTCAAAAGAATAACCTTGAAATATCTACATAAGATTTCAAGTCGTATTACCAATAGTTTTCTCAAATATGATGTTAATACAGATTGCGTGCATGTCCTTGAGGCTTTTCGCATCGTACCGCTTTTATGCAGCGTTGGAAAAATCATGTGTTACAATCAATGTCTCATTATTATGGTATTAATTTTCATTGGTTTGTGATGCGCAGACTGTGAGGATGTTCAATTTCAGATCTTGTTCTGCGTCCAATCATCATGTGAGGATATATGCAAGTATCAGTGGAAGGGTAAGAAGGTCTACAAGCCTTGGTGCGATAAGTTCTTCGGTGGCTACTGCCACTGCAAGATTTGCCATGATGAATAGAACTTAATGGATATGTTAGGCGCACTTCATGCTAGAAATAAATAATGCATAACTTTGTGTCCTGAACCACTGATTTATGCATGCGATTGTATGCTTGGGAGAGCGTCATGCCATGTGAGACATAGGCCTTGTTTAGATACTCTAACTTAGCTAGAGGTTAGAGTTAGTTTCTAGCTCATGACTAACCCTGAACTAACTCTAGCCAAAGAGTTGTTTGGATGACAGGGTTAGATTGATAATAAATGCACTTTCTCAATCATTTGGCTCATTTAAACCCACTTTAAAGGGGAGAGATCTGGTGTGGGGGATAGAGAGATAAAAAGTGTTTTTTTAGTGGGCCCCATGAGAACTAGCTCCAATTAGCAACTCTTGGTGGGATAGTTTTTCGGGTGGGTTCGATGCAACTAGCTCAAACTAGCCCTCATGTTTGGATACTTTAGGGCTATTTGAGCTCAAACTAGCTCAAACAAACTCTAACCCATGGATCCAAACATGGCCATAATCTATACTAGAAGGGTTGGACATGCTATGCTGGATCGTTGGTGTTGTTGGGTTTCCCAAAAAACATTACTCACCATCTTTCAAAATATAAGGTGTATTTTTTTTTGAAAAGTCCAACATTTTAAGTTCGATCAAATTTGTAGAGAAATATATCAAAATTCATAGTATCAAATTGGTATGATTAGATTCATCTTGAAATGAATTTCCATACTTTTTGTTTAATATTATGGATGTCGATATTTTTTCCTCTGAGCTTGGTCAAAGTTAAAAAAAGATCCCAAAAAAGTAATACCCCTTATATTTTGAAACTGGTGGAATATTTAGTTTGGCCGGTGTGGGAGATGATGGAGTGTGTGTTTTCTTTATGCGGTGATTTGATGGGCCTTTCGTGTTATCCGCTAACCAATGTATATTTATGTGAGGAAACTTCTGTGTCACTGGCTCCATGTACTATATTGGTGCTACAATATCACATGGTGGCACTTCTTTTTCTAGGCGGTGGGAGGGTGCGCAGAATTGATGTGTTTTTATAGGCCGGTTGCTACTGATTAATTTGAGAAATCATTGGCACGGTCAAAATCGTATACCAAATCCAAAATTGTATACCTCAATTGCATTAAAGAGCTTCAAAATTAGCGAACATAGAGAATTAAAAGAATCATATGGGAAAACTCGTTGAGAAATTGTTGAGCCGGTTAAAATCGGATGACCCCAATCTAAATTGAATATCTCAATTAATTGTGCTCAATTGAATGTGGGCTCTTTAAAACTAGGGGGCATAGTGTTATAGAGGATTGTCTCATGGAAAAGATGTTTAAAGGCAAATATCGTATACTCCCTTTCTCCCATATTATAAGAGCACTACTGTAAAAAAAATTGGGGAAATCCTTTTCTGAGCCCGGGCTCATCTGCACCCGTGTTGAATAAAAAATCAAAACAAATACTAGAAAATTTAAAAAAATTCAAATTCTTTTCCCATGGTAGACAATTTAATACGTGAGGTCCGCCCCAATTTGCAAATCATTTGGACAACTGAGCAACTCTCGGCAAAAAAAGACAAATTCGGAGTCTGTAAACGGTTTACTGTTCATGTACTGTTTTGACCCGATTTTTCTTTTTTGCTGAGAGCTACTCAGATGTCCAAATGAGCTAATATTTGGAGCGAACCTCACACAATAAATTGTCTACCATGGGGAAAAATTGGAATTTTTGAATTTTTCTAATATTTATTTTGAATCTTTTTTCTGACCGGGTGCAGATGAGTCTAGGCACCGAATCGCTGCACTCAAAAAAATGCTATTATATTATGAAACAGAGGGAGTAGTTATGAACAAATATAGCGAATGAAACTGATGACTACATTATTTTTCTGAGTAAACATTTGACTTTGGTCTACAACAAGAAAACAAGAACTTGTGTACTCATCAGTTCTTGAATGCAACCCTTGTGTGGCCGTGTGGGAAGAGGAGATTGTCGCCAAGTGTGTCTCCTGCACATGTACGATAAAACCAGTCCAAGGTGCCCTTGTCAGCATTGCCATGTAACCAGTAAGTTACATATATTGAGTCAGAAGCAACTAAGCAAGGCCTACGTTTGACCAGCACATTGTGCCAATACCAAGTTTACCTGTATACAACAGGCATTTGTACCCTTAAAAGCAGTGAAAAAACAGTGCGTTATAGCGTTCTGAGAAATGTCTCGCTAAATAAAGCAGTATACAATGTCTCGCTAATAGCATGATATAGCATGCTAATAGCGCATTTTAAGGGACACGGTATTTCGCCATAGCACGTGATTTTTTTTTCATTATTGCTTAAAAGTAAACACTCATCACGCAGGCTGGTGATAATAATCTTAAATGCCTCAACACACAGAAAGAACGGAGATGAACAAGCCAAAAGGCAGACCAGTGTTGACCTGCAATGCTATGAAACAATCTATTCATCGTTCCAAATACACAAGTACACAACCATTAAGCCAATAACGATATTTGTTTATAGTATTTTCTTCCTTCTTTTTGTTGCATCTGGAAATATATAACAAATCTGCAGATTTGACGTATGGGCAGCATATAATCTGCCAACAACTTTTACTGAGTGAATAAATTTGAGTTCGGTTCCGTGAGCAAAGCTTTCAGCGTAAGATGACTATTACAGTTACATTACAGCAAATCAGATCAGCCACGGAACTTATAGTTATGGATCCCCCATGGCCCTAAAACCACAATACCAGCCTCTCTCAATATCAGGGCTACGAAATTAGCCCACGCCTTACAATGGACTGCAAGTTTTAGAAGCGCACGATTGCCAACAGCTAAACTCATCGAGAGGCGCACCTTTCTCCACGCGCTGTGGTCAGGGAAGGGTCCTCCAGCGACGTCACATCAAAAGTTAGTTCCCGTAAACCTCCATATTAATATCAAAAATAGATTTACAAGGTCCTCCAGCGCGTCCGGAAGCTCTGGGTCCTCAGAGGCATGACCCCAGCCAGGCCAAACTGCAGAAACCCGGGTCCTCTCTGCTATCTGTGTCATGGCAGATGAATTACAAGCAAACATTTAGTAACTAGTAGTCAAGCAACAAGCACAATGAACATGGATGATATAAGAGTAGGAGAATGAACGATGGATGAACCACGCTGACCTCGACAATGAGCTGCACATTTGCATAATTGTTGTTATTGGTTCCACCAGGGACCTCCAGGAACTGGTCGGCGATCCGCACGTGCTCCGCATTGGCCCGGAGATCCTCCGGGGTAGCCATGGCCACCAGGAGGACGGCCTTGTCGGTGCCAAAGGTCTCGGAGGCCCAGGCGCGGATGCTGCGCATGAACTTGACGGCGGCCATCCCATTGTTGGCGACCAGCACGCTGCGTATCGGCGTGTCGCCCCCGAGCGCCCTGCAGAATTCGCTGATCTGGTCGGACCCCACCATCATTGCCCCCTCTGACCAACCGTCAGCGCCACGCACCAGTCACCACTCAGCAACACCAATCCGGGCGGCGACGGCGAAAGTTCTCCGGCGAACACGACACACGACGGTAATCTCGCGGCCGCACCCGAAATCCGGCGAATTCGAAACCGGTTTGGTAATCTGGTGGTGGCTGCTGCTTATATAGTATACTGCGGGGGATCGGAGGGGTGGCGGAGTCGAACACGGTCTGGAGGAGGGAGGGAAGCCCACACGGAGACGGACGGAGAAGAGCGGCTAGTTCGTCACGGGAAGGGAGTCCTGCTCCGAAGAGAGGGGGGTGGACGCCGGGACTGACTCGACCGCGGGAGTGGTGGGGGGAGGGGGAGGGGGGGTGCGCGCCGGAGGCGTTCGACGGAATGCCTGCCGGCCGCGCGCACTGGAAGGGAGGGGGGAGGAAGATCGAAGATGGCGGCGGCGGCGGCGGCGGCGGGGCGGGCCTTGAATGCCTGGCTGCGGCGGCGCGCCGTCCACCGCAGAGCAGAGGGAAGACGGGAGGGAGAGGGCCGGGTGGCAGCTTGGACACGAGGAGACGACTACGACGACTCCCCCACACACACCCGGTCTCTTTCGTCCATCTGCTAGAAGACCACGACCCACTAGTCACTCACTTAGAGCATCTCCATGAGACGCGCAACACGCGGCGCGCTAAAAACTAGTTTGTCACGCGCCGTTCGCCTGATTTTGCGCAGCCACCAACGCTGACTCCAACAGCCACGCTAAAATGCAGTGCGCGCGTCGCTCCAGCAGCTCGCAAAAATGCAGCGCGCGACTCGCACAAACAACATATACATTTCAAATAGAAGCAAAAATAATCAAACTAATCAACAATAAATAGTTCAATTTCTTTATTATTACAACCCAAACAAATAGTTTATCATTCAGTACAACAAATACTGCAATAAACACAACAAATAGTTCATGAACAATACAATGTAGAACGCAGAAATCATGCTCTTTGTCGTCCATGCCGTGCCCACCACTCCTCAATGAGATCCTTCTGAAGATCATTGTGCGCTGCGGGACGCCGAATGGCATGATAGGAGGCAACAAAACGGGCCACCCTTTCAGCCCTCCGTCGCACTCGCACCCTTTCAGACGGACGCGCGCGAGGGGCGGCGGGACCAGAGGGGGGGGCGAAGAAGTCGCGGCGGCGCGGGGATAGGCCGGGGAAGCGCCAGAACGGTCGCCGGGGGCGCGGGCGGCGGCGGCGGCGCGGCTGGATGGGGGGTGGGAGTGGAGAGCGAGCGCACGAGAGTCCAGCGCGCGGGAGCGGGCACAGCAAATAAGCGGCGCACGATTGCGTTTGGCCAGTGCGCTGAACTACATATGCCGCACGCGCTGTTTTTGGGCGCCCGCTGGAGCAACTATACCGGTTGCGCGCGCGCTAAAACGTCCAATTTTACGGCGCGGCACTAGTTTGGCGTGGCTGTTGGAGATGCTCTTCAGCCGCACCCCCAACAGGCCCCCAAGGCGTTTTTTTCGCCGACGCAAAAGAATCCCCCAGTCGCGCCCTGAGGACGCCGAATTCTGCCGATTCGGCCCATCTTTTGGCCCGGCGATCCCAAGCCGAACCCAGCGCACTAGAGGGCACTTGGAGGCTCCGGCAGAAGAAAAAGTGGTGCGTGGACCACCACTGTCAGGCGAGAAACGCCTTTTCCCTGCCCAGATTCGGCCCACGTGCGGTAGAACGTCACTTCCCCTTTTGCCGCCATGCCGGTACCAGCGCCACCCCCTGCCAACAACCGCTACTCCGCCGCTAGAAAGGCCATCCCGCTCCTGGCCAAGCTTTCCAGGACTCTGACCATGCAAGCAGGGATACCAGCGGCTACCCGCCCACGACGCCTGCGAGGTGTTTGGCGATTTTTCCTGTTCGGCAATGGACTCCAACGACGAGGAGTCGTTCGCGGCTCTGATTGAGGAGGAAGCCGAGGCCGACATCGACGACGAAGAGCACCTCATGATCCTCGCCGCTCTGGCCGGCCTGCTCGCTAAGAATGCAAAGCCGCGGCGAGGTGGCTTGGTGTCGGGCCGCCGCAAGAGCAAGCAGAGGCATCAAATGAAGGGCTATTGCTTGCTCTATGCCGACGCTCCACTACACGGTAAGATAGTATTTTGGCGTTGTTATTGGATGAGCCAGAAGCTCTTCCTCAAGATTGTGAATGTCATCTGGGAGTTCGACAGCTATTTCATTTGCAAGAAGGATTGCACCGGCACAGTTGCATTCTCCTCACTCCAGAAGTGCACAACAGCTATGAGGATGCTTGCATATGGAGCTCCCAACTCCAGAAGTGCAAGACAGCTATGAGGATGCCGAGTTCACCACCATTGGGTGTTTGTACAAGTTCTGCAGGGCAATGGTGGAAGTGTTTGGACCATAATACTCGATCATCAAATGCTGAAGACACTGCCCGGATCCTAGCACATAATGAAGCAAGAGGATTTCATGGGATGCTTGGAAGCATCGACTACATGCATTGGGCATGGAAAAATTGTCCATTTTCTTGGCAGGGGATGTACAAAGGCGCAAAAGGAGCTTGCAGTATCGTACTTGAGGCAATGGCTACCGAGGACCTCTGGATTAGGCACTCCTTCTTTGGTATGCCATGAACTCACAATGACATCAACGTCCTGCAGTGCTCGAATGTCTTTGTCAAGCTTGTTGAAGGTCATGCTCCTCCGGTGAACTTCGAGGTCAATGGGCGCCACTACAACAAGGGATACTACATAGCAGATGACATCTATCCAAGATGGTCAATATTTGTGAAGACTATCTCAAACCCTGTTCCAAGAGGCAAGAACTCCTACTTTTCTAAGTGTCAGGAGGCTTGCAAGAAGGATATGGAGCGGGCATTTGGTGTGCTCCAATATCGATTTGCTATTGTCTGGTACCCCGCTCTGACCTGGTCAAAATCTCAGATGTGGGAGGTGATGAATTGTTGTGTCATCTTGCACAACATGATCATTGAGAACGAGCAGGACAAGCCAGTGGTTGATACTAAAGCATATTTCAGACAGGGTCCTCTTGCAACTGTTGATCACCAGGTACCGACAGCATGGACTGCCTTCCTCAATATGCGTCAGGAGATCCAAGACCCATAGGTGCATCAAGAACTGCAACACGATCTGATGGAGCATCTATGGAGGCTGAAGGGCAACGCCTAGTTCGATGTTTTTTAAATTTGTGTTCGAATTATGAGTTTGATTCGTTGAACTATTTGATTTGTATTGATTTCTATG